TACTGTGAGTGAAAATTGAATTAAAATATCCATATAAATATTATGTCTTCAAGAGTCATAAGAGTCCTGCAATGAGTAACTCACCTCTACTTTCTCAAGGGCAACTAAGGCTGGGCAATGAAGGAAGGGTCACCGGATCCGAAATGTTCTCTGTTTTTTCCTTCAAAGATGCTGCCAGACCTGCTGAGCTTTTGCCGCAGCTAAGTTTTTGCTCCTGGGCAATAAGTGCTGGCCCCGACAGTGAAACTCACATCCCATGAATGAATTTGTGTTTTTATTCCGTTTTGCATTGAGCATGGGTTTTCTGGAACATTTGCCCCTGCTTTGAAGGTATATCTGCGGAAATGTCTTGCAGCTCATTTAAGTAGTCCAGTTTCCATTAAAGGTGAGCTCCGGCAAACTACTGAAGTAAATCAGGTTGATGGAGCTCAGCAGTTTCCTAGGATTTTCTTTTCTCCTCTTTTGACCTGTTACTGGCAGGACCAGAATCCCAGAGTTTGCAGCAAGGTTGGATTGCACTATGTGATGAATTATGTTAATGGACTCCCGAGACATTTGCAACTCCAAATAAGCTCTATATGATCTCTACCTGTATTTATGTAAAGCATCGGGTGAATGACCTTCATTGTGCTAGCCTGGTGCCTCCCCACACCGTGCCGCAATAGCTTGCTTGAGGGTATTGTTCAAGGGAGTGCAGCATTCTGCTTGACCTCAAGTGGGTCCTTTTTGTCTGAACCTATTGTAGAATGTCCATTTGTTTGAGATTGTTATCACAGTGACAAATGGAAACAATGACACACACTGCATGTATAGATATGACAACACACACACCCCATACACAACACACACATTTCTGCCCATTACGTAATGCAGCTAGGTTTACTGTTTCTTCACTGAACTGGTTGAATATGTAATAGAAACAGTTTGTGGTGATGTCCCAGTTTTTTTTTTAGGAGTGGGACATCACGAGGGGCGTGAATAGGGTGAATAGTCAAGGTCTTTTCCCCAGGGTAGGTCCAAAACTAGAGGACATAGGTTTAAGGTGAGATGGGAAAGATTTAAGAGGGACCTAAGGGCAACTTTTTCATACAGAGAGTAGTGTGTGTATAGAATAAACTCCAGAGGAAGTAGTGGAAGCTGGTCCAATTACAGTCTTTAAAAGGCATCTGGATGGGTAAATCAAGGAAAGGTTTGGAGGGATATGGACCAAATGCTGGCAAATGGGACTAGATTAATTTAAGATGTCTGGTCGGCATGGACAAGTTGGACCAAAGGGTCTGTTTTCGTGCTGTGTCTCTCTGACTCTGAGAGACTCCACCATGTGTCTTTCCCTCCCCAACCAAATTGTATGTGTGCACACTTAATCTTGACTGTCACTTTCCCTGGTTACCATTTCAAATTGGAATAAAACAAGTTTATTGTTGAATTACAGAAATTATCGAGAAGCGTGATAAAGTGTCACTGGAAGAAGAGATGACCGAATTGAGATGCTATTCGAATAGAAACAGGCTTCTTTGTGAAGGTGACTTTAACCTGTCTGATGTGATCTACTTCTCAAAAAAGGGATTTGAAGCTGTTGTTGAAGATGAAGTGACCACTCGATTTAGCTCTGAGGAGTTGGTCTTGTGGAATCTGTTAACAAGGACAAACAGGAACTTTCAGCACATCAGTGTTCGTCTGACTATCCTTTGGGCTTTGGGAGTTGGGATTCGATATGGAGTCCTTCTGCCCCTGCGGTGAGTACACAACTTAAACACGACTCCACAGGTTTTGTACTTTGGCAGTTTCTGCATACAATTCAACAACAAAAAATGCCCTTTGATGGTGGGGTATTCCAAGATTTTTGTATGATAATATTTTACATCATTCTCCAGAGAGAACAGGATTTGAATGTAAACGTTTGTGATCTAGAAATACAGCAACATGGTAAAGTTCATCAGGTTTTGGGCAGTCACCAAAATGACCATGAAACCGTTGCCGATTGTCAGGAAAAACCTATCGAATGTCCTTTAGGGAAGGAAACTGCCACCCTTACCTGATCTGGCCTACAAGTGACTCCAGATCCACAGCAATGTAGCTAACTCTTAACTTCCCTCTGGGCAATTGGGGATGGGCAATAAATGCTGGTCTCATCAGCGATGCCATTATCCCATGAATGAATTAAAAAAGTAAGAGAGCATTGAAGAACACGATTAAGAATATCAAACTAAGAATCTATGAAGCATTTGTCCCCTGCACTGCTTTACATTCTGAGGAAGGGTCACTGGACCCGAAACGTTAACTCTTTTTTTTTTTACATCATAGATGCTGCCAGACCTGCTGAGCTTTTCCAGCAACTTTGTTTTTGTTTACATTTGGGAATTCTGGACACAGCAGGAGAAAAGATTGAACTGTTTTATCTTGACTGTCTCCAACATATCTTTGGCAACTCTTGTCAGGACAAACTTACCAAATCCTAGACAACTTTGTGTGCTAATTTCACCAGCATACACTCATTACTAAGCCAACAATATCTGTCCTGGCACAGTCAAACTCATCATTTGAATGCGGTCATATATCCAAAGTCCTTCTGTATGGTGAACTGACTACTGGGTCATAACCTCCTGCCATCAATCCCTCCACTACAAGGACACCTGTAAATGTGATATGAAGGTGGCGGACATTGACACTGACTCCTCGCTCATTGTTGGCTGTGACCTCTAGAGGCTGACTATTTGGAAAGGTGTTGGAAGTAGTGTGGGCAAATGAAAAGCTGAGCGAATGAGAAGTGGGCCCAGAGAGAGCACAGTGGCCAGTGAATCCTACCCTTTCTAAGCCCACTTTCTTCCTCTGCAGCAAATGTGGCAGAGTGTGCCAGGCCAGACTGGGGCTCCTGAGCTTCGCCAGATAATGCCCAGCATTGTGTTGCATAAACCAGCATTGTAAGAGATGCAGGGCTGTCACCAGCATCATTTAAACCACTGAAACTGTACAATCTAAAGTAGCATTGCAACAAGTGGGCTTCTCACAGCCTTCATGTTTAACCGTACTCAGTGAAACTAATCCTTTGTGCTTTTAGTATCAGTGATGCTTTACGCAGGTTAAACACTGCTTATGAGTTTTGCTGTTTCAAAGCAGTGCAGAGCAGGCCGTATGTCCTGGTCCTGCCAATTCACGCCACTTGCCAAACAGACACTGCCCTCAACCTACGTGTAGCTGTAGTCAAAAAGTGTTGAAATCCAGACCTCTGCAAGGAACATATTTATCCACTGATCATTAGCAAGAAGTATTAGTCTATTTTTCAATACTTTTGTTGTGATTTTTTTTACTCTGTCATGCAATGAGTGAATTCAGTCCTGTATATTACAGGTGGTTTCTGTTCTGTGACACATTTTAACAAGACCTCCTAACCTGTTCTCTCTCGCAGGATAACTTTGGGTCTGATTGGCATTAGCTGGCTGGTGATTGGGACCACCTTAGTAGGACAGCTTCCAAACAGCAGGTAAGGAGGAGTGTAGTCCACTTGTGGCACTTCAGCAGGGATCACTGATCATGATCAGGGAAGAGAAATCTCCCACTCATCCTTTATGCTCATCCCTCTGCTTTACCTTCCCATCTATCTTGGAATACAGGGATGGGTTAGATATTATCTATACCGCCATTGTTTTAATTCAACAAAAACCTATTGTAGATGGAAGCCTTGCAGCAAGTTTGGTCCAACTGCTAATGATTAAACGCATCATAGTCTTGGTGGAGCCTGCGCTGTGGGTTTTAATGAAGCGTTCTCCATACCTTAGTCACAATCTCCTGTGTTTTTTTTTTAAGTTTTTGGGTTGGAGGAAGCGCATTAAAATTCCTCAGTCTGAGAGACAGAGACAGTTAAAAGAAAGAGGAGCCACCTGAATTCAGTCTGCTCAGCCCTGTCAGCATTTTGAATATTTCAATGAGATCCCCTCTCATTCTTCCAAATTCCAGTAAATACAGGTCCTTTTAACCCAATATCTCCTCATGACAATCCTGTCATCCTAGGAATCACTCTGATAAAGCTTCATAGCATTCCGTGTATGCAAGTTTCCTTTTAGGTAAGGAAATGAAAACTGAACAGAATTCTCCAGCTCACAAAGCCCTGTACAATTGCAGTATGACTTCTTTGCCCTTGTACTCAAACCTGATTGCAATGAAGACCAATGTACCATTTTGCCTTCCTAATGTCTTACTGGATCTGCATGCATGCTTTCAGTGACTGTCGCGCAAGGACTGTTAGATTCCTTTGAGAAATGTTGATGTATGATCTTCCACCATTTAGATAATGTCTTACCAATCTGTTCTTCCTACTGATGTGGTCAACTTCACATTTATTGACATTATCCTGCATATGCAATGCATTTGCCTGCTCGACTTGTCTAAATTGCCCTGAAGGCTCTTTGCATCTTCCTCATCTCTGTCACTTTTTTAACCTAGTTTTGTGCTGTCAGCAAACTTGGAAATACTACATTTCATTCCTCATTCAAATTGTTATATGTATTGTGATAGCTAGGGCCTACAACACCCCATTTGTCACCACCTTCCACTGTGAAAAACACTCATTTATTCCTAATCTGTTTCCTGTCTGCCAACCAGTTCTCAGTCTTACCAATATCTCACATGATTTCATGTTGCACAATAACCTCTTATGTGGGATTTTACCAAAGCTTTCTCAAAATCCAAATCTGTTACATCCACTGGTTCTCCCTCATCTGTTCTGTTAGTTACATCCTCAAAATAAACTCCAGTAGATTTGTCAAGCATGATTTACCTTTCATCCATGTTACAATACCATTTGTGTTTTCTAAGTGTCCTGGCATCAGATCATCCATAATAAACTCCAGTATTTTCCCTACTACTGATGTTAGGCAATTTGTACTTCCTTGCTTTTCTCTACCTCCTTTTTTTATATAATGGGGTTAGATTTGCTACTCTCCAATCTGCCATGACTGTTTCAGAATCTATGGAATTTTGGGAGATGACAACTAATGCATTAGTATTCTGGGATGTAGATTATCAGGCCCTGGAATTTACCTGCTTTCAGTCCCATTAATTCCCCAGCACTACTTTTTTACCCCAATTCTAATCATCTTTAATTTCTCCTTCCCATAGACCCTTACTTCCCAAGCACTTCTGGGAAGTTATTTGTGTTTATTTGGAACCTTTATGATAACTGTTTGTTGCACCTGATCCATTGTGCCTTTGAAACAAATAGCATCATATATATTGTCAGTGATTGGTAATCTCTGATCTGAGTCATTCTTGTAAGAGATTTCTAAAAAATTAGGTAACGAGATGTGGGTTGCACTAGCTAGGCCGCAATTTATTCTTTTTATATCCAAAATGCTCTTAAGCGTAACTGAGCATTACTTTTCTCCCTATCACCAAATCACCCGTGCTATTTAGGCTACCTTTATCATCTATGATCGATTGATTTTATTGTCACACGTACCAAAATACATTGAAAAGCTATGTTTACGAGTGGTACAGGCAGATCTCAGCAAGGAAAGGATGTACAGATCAAAAAGCCTTAGAAGCATACAAGTTACATTGCAGCAAAGAGTGAATCACATTGCTGTAGGTCTGGAATCACATAGAAGCTAAACAAGGTAAGGATGGCAAAATTCCTTTCCTAAAGTGTATTAGTAGACCATAAGATATAGGAGCTGAATTGGGCCATTCAGCCCATCAGGTCTGATCTGCCTTACAATCATGGCAGAGCTATGTCTCAACCCCATTCTCCTGCCTATCACTAACTTATCTATCTCTGTCTACACTCAATGACTTAGCCTCCACAGCCTTCTGTGATAATGAGTTCCACAGATTCACCACCGTCTGGCTGAAGAAATTTCTCCTCATCTCAGATGGATTTGTATGTCAATCGGTCATGGTTACATGGTTGTTATTACTCCCTTTTTGTTTTTAAATCCAGATTTTTTTTTTTATTATTGAATTCAAATTCCACCATCTGCTATAGTGGGATCGAAACCCATGTCCCCAGAATGTTGACCTAAGGTTCTGGATCATTAGGTAGGTGACATTATCACCATGCCACCAGCTACACTGGTCGAGCCATGAAGATGTAGTGGTTACTGTTCTTGAACTATTGCAACTCCTTTGCTCAGGTGACAAGCTTCACCGATATGAGAGATTGTAGGTCACTTGAAGACTCTATATCTTTTCTCCTCAGTGTGAAGATGTGGCTCAGTGAGCTTGTACACTTGATGTGCTATAGAATATGTGCAAGAGGACTGTCTGCAACGATCCATTATCACAACAAGTAAGTCCGCAATAATCAAAAGTTCATGTAAATGTTTATTTTTAAAAAGGCTCATTTAGAAAAACATGGCAGTTTCATTTGAGTGAAAAAGGGCCAACTGGCAAAATGCAAAGGTGTGATGTCCTATTTAATTAATGTGAGGACCGTAGGAGTAATTCTATTTAAGATTGTTTTGCTTTACAGAGAGTAAAGTCATGGACTCCTCCTGTTGCAAATAGACTGCTTGTTTGTTTGGGATGGGTGATGCAATGAGTTAGCACACAATGTTCTTTTAACACAAATAGAAATTGCTGGAAAACCTCAGCTGGTCTGGCAGGCTGACTTCTGAAGAAGGCTCACTGGACCTGAAGCATTAACTCTGCTTTCTCTCCACAGATACTGCCAGATCCACTGAGGTTTTTTTCAGCAATTTCTGTTTGTGTTTCTGATTTCCAGCACCTGCAGTCCTTCGCTCTTTTTTGATTTGCTGTTCTTTTAGCCTTTGGGACCTGCCATTCACATGTGGAAGAATGGTTTCCCTCCAGTAGCATAATGGACTCACATGGACATGATTTTGGCCATGTGAGTCCCTGAAGGACATAACACCAGAGCTCTGAAACACCCCTATTTCAAAACATTTGGCATCAAAGTGGCAGGTGGTCAATGTGGTGCATTTGTTTAGAAGAGGTATGAAACTGAGGACCCATTTATCAGTTTAGATGGCTCTAAAATTCCACTATCCTACTTGGAAGAAGAATAAGTGAGTTTTTCCTGGTATTTTGATATTTATCCCTCAATTAACATTTTAAAGTTTATGTGGTCATTAACACATTGCACACACAGCAAATTCAAATGAATAACAAATTGGCTGTCCTCCTGATTATTGCAACAGTGCCTACACTTCAAAAACGTACTTTATTGGCTGTGAAGCCCATTGAGAAGCCAGGTGGTTATGAAGAGCACTATATAAATGCAAGTCTCTTCGCTTTTTTTGACATAGGAAAGGATGCTTTGGGTTTCTGCCATACTGTAGGAGACAGTTCGTACATTAGATGTTAGGAAACTATCAGATCTGAGAATGCTTGATTGTTACATTGATCTAAAATGCCCACATAATTTTATCAGAAAATTCAGCAAGCGCTGAAGTAGGATTTCCTAATTTGCACTTTGACCATCAGGAATTGTTCCATCCTGTGGGATGGAAGTGTTCAGATCACTAGCAGTGATGTGTTACTCACAGCATAATATTGACAAATGTGCATTGGATTAATTGATAAATAATAGTTATGTATGTACTTCAGAGTGACGTTGTGTTGAACTGCAACGTGGGATGACCAGAGATTGTGGTGTAACAAGCTGACAGTGATCATTTGAAGTATATTTCAAGAAAGCACTCACAATGAACATCTGGGGAGTGAATGTACTGTCACTGGCTGTGTGCATGTACAAGTACATGTGAGGTTCACTATGATAGAAAGTACAGGAAGCTACATACACTTAAGAAAATGAGTTCCTTAGGAGGCAGAGATTATGAAAACTAGCGGCACAGATTCATATAGCCTTTAAAGAAGCAAACAAACACTGAGGCTTATTTCTAGAGGGGTCAAATTGAGAAGCAGTGATGTTAAACTCAGTTGTTAATTTTAAATATAAGATAAATTTTTGCGAAGCAAAAGTATTGAAGGATGTGTGGCCAAGTTATATGGAGTTAGGTCACAGATCAGCCATGATGTAATTTAATGGTGGACTGGTTTTGGGGAGCTGAATGACCTATTCCTGTTCCTATGGAGAAGTACTTAGATTATTCTTAGAATACTGTGAACAGTTCTCATCTCCGCAAAACAAAAGATATAAACATTTCAGTCTGAATTTGGGAAGGTGCTGACTTTTCCATAAATTAATGCAGTTAATATATACTGACTTTTTTTTGTTGATTTCTTCATGGGAAGATGTTGGCAGCATTAACTAGGCCAGTGTTTATTTCCCATCCCTCTTTGCATAAAAGGCAGTGAAAAATCAACCACATCATGCTGGGTCTGGAGTCACGTGTAGGCCAGACCAGGTAAGGATGGCAGATTTCCTTCCTTAAAAGACATTAGTTTGCAATGAAGAGTAACACCAGCATCAGGAATTCAGTTTTCACACTACCTGAGGTTACCATGAACGATTCTACTTCTCAACCTCTCCTTTTGCTTGAGGCGCAGTGATCCTCAAGTTAAACCACCACCAGTCATTTCTCTCTAATGAGAGAGCAGTCTGTGAGGACACTGGTAACTTTGCTTTTAAATTATTCTTTCCTTTCACTTCTGCCCCATTTTTGACTTGTTCACATTTTTAAATACTACTTTTCATCTCGAGTGATCTACCTTCTCTGCCATTTTCTAATTTGAAAACTTGACCTTAAATCTTGTACTTCTTTTCCAGCATCCCCCGTCACTACCAGGCTCCAGACAATCTTGGGGAGCAAACGTTGAGGAAAAATTACTCTGAGGAACACAATGTGACATTTAACTTGGCTGCCAATCAATAAACTGACTCATGGCCCCTGGCGCTTATCTTTAATGTAGCGTTAAGTTTTTGGCTTGCTGACCTTCTGGTCTTTCTGTGCATACTTGTGGGTGAAACATACCTGTGAAATAGAGTCATAAAGGTCTACAGCATTGGAAAAGACCAGTTGGCCAATCGAGTCTGTGCCAGTATATATTACCTGTGTCTGTGCCAGTATATAACAAAATGATCTCAGACTAGGTCGATTAGATATCCTTGTTTTGCTAAGACAGTCCTGAATTATGATTGCATCTCATTGGGTCCTGACAATTTTTCCCAAAATTGTTCAAATGTCCTTTGATTCAGCTTTCCTGTTGTTCTGCAGGACTGTAATGAGTTTGAACTGAATTTAACTTCCTGCTTGCATCCTTGGTCTGTCATTTTGCCCCGTACCATGACATTTGCATTTCTGGGTAACTTTGAGGTAAGGTGGGGAGAAAGTATGTGGCAGGAAGACTGTGTGTCTGATTGGCCAAATATCTGCAAGACAAAGTGGGGAATCAACTTTGCAAAGAAGAAAAATCACCAGTTGATGGACACAGTTGACTTGTTTCAGTTTGTACAAGGGTACAGACGGAAGAAATGCTGCACCTGAGGAGCTGAAAAGATACGTTTGTATGTGTGTGAAGAAGCATTAATTAGTTCAGGGTGTCCTGATTTTCCCCCTGTTTAGTCACCCTATTTTTGACACATCAGAACTGGGAGCAGAAGCACTGGTATCAATACCAGTAGAAGGTAATGATGTGAACCTGGTACTATTTTAGACTGCAATACCATTTTCCTTTAGGATTTAGAAAGCTTTTTTTATCCCCATTATAATTGATTTGATTTTGGGAAATGAGCTGATTGAAACATTTATTTGTATTTTTAACCTATTTCCTAAACTGATAAGTACTCATCCTGGTGTGCAGGGTCTGAACGAAGTTTCATTTCTCTATAATTTCTTCTTGTATTTTCACTGCCTGACTGTGTAGGGAAACCGATCTAACTGCTGCTATAAATATTGAATGAATGGACTTCACTTAAAAAATACATTTCTTTTGAAGAGAGCTGAGAGTGGAATTGGAACAGAAATTGCCAAAGTCTGTTAATACCAGCAAGTTGCTTTAGGGGAACACGAATTCAGTTGCATTGCTAAACATTCCAAAGATGGGGCTGTGTGTGCAAGTTGCACTGTACAGGTGTGTCTCTCTCTTTTACCCCCTGCCTCTTCGCTTCTCCACCCCCCCGCCTCTTCGCTTCTCCCCCCCCCCCCCTTCTTCCCTCCCCCCCCCCGCCCCCCCACGCTTCTCTCTCTCCTCCCTTCATTCTCTCTCTCTCTCTCTCCACCCTCTTCGCTCGCGCGCGCTCTCTCTCTCTCGCGCGCTCTCTCGTGCTCGCCTCCACCTCTTCCCCCACCCCTTCATTCCCTCACCTTAGCGTGCATGTGTCTTGCTCCTTTGTCAGTTGGCTCGGCTTCAGATCGGCTCATTTCAATTTAACAGATTCTGAATAGTTTCTTTGTTTTCCTAGACAGTCCGCTAAATTCTTAGTGAGCCTTTCTTTAATTTAATCTCACAAGAAACAACAGCCCATTTTATTTTATCCTGATTAAACTGTTCAAGCCTGCTCCGAAGCAAGTGCTGTACATTCTGAAATGTGTGGGCTTTCTCTGGCCTTCATTCCATTTTAATTATTTTGAAGAGTTGGTGGATCTTTGAAGGTCAAAATTTCATTCCAACTGTGACTGGCTCTTCCACTTGAGCCAATTTGCCCAAACTCCCAATTCAACTAGAAAAAAGGTGGGAGAAGTTGAATTGAACTTGGCATGAAGTACGCTGCACTGGTCCATGGAGAACATGTCTGCTCTTTAAATGGTACTTAGATTCAAGTCTGTGTTTAGAGCACTACTTCTGTCTGTGGCATGTGTGGAGGTGACTATATTCATACAGCACTGCATTGCCTCCCAAAAAAAAGATCAGTGACGTCTGGAGTGCAGGATGGTCAAGTTTACTGGATGGAGCTAGCCGTTCTGTGACAATTTTGGTATGGTTTTGGTTTACGATATTCTTTTGCAAACTGTCACCACCTGATGAGCAAGGATTGGAGAGAAAATCTTGCCCAATCTCTGCTCATTCACGTGATTTGAACCATCAGTCACATCAACACATTTTCTCCCAGCAACCACCATCCCCACCCCCCATCACCAAATCCAGCAGCTCCTTAGAATGATTCAAGTTTCTTTCCTCCATTGCTCACTGTGAACAATAGTCTGTATACTTTTGTGTATCTGTCTGCAGCTCTTCAGAAATCAGCTCCGAGTTAATGCTATGCCCCATTGTTTAACTCTCATGGTTTAATTTGATTTACTTTGCAACTTGGGACAGACCAGGGAGGCAGTAGAATAGTGTTACCATTGGATTAGAAATCCAGAAATCGAAGTAATGTTCTGGGGAACGGATTAAAATCCCACCATGGCTGTTAGTGAAATTTGCATTCAACTAAATCTGGAATTGTAGTCTAATGATGACCATGTAATCATCGTCATAAAAACTAATCTGGTTCACTAATGTCCTTTTAAGGGCTGAAATCTGCCATCTTTAGGCTGGTCCAGCCTACATGTGACCCCACACCCACAGTAATGTGAATAACTCTTATATGCCCTCTGCAGTGGTCTAGCACCACTAACAAGTTTCAAAAAAGGAATGAGGCCTGGTGGACCACCTGACATCGATCTAGATACAGGAAACAAGAATGGCAAACTCAAACCTGTTGGCTGTGCAAAGCCCTCCTTACTGGAGAGGCTGGTGACAAAATTGGGAGAGCTACCTCAGACTAGTTAAGCAACAAACAAAGTCATGTCTTCACGCTGAGATACGTTCTGTTGTGTTGTATGGTGGCACTAACGTACGAAATAGGATAGATTTTCAAACAGATCTTTCAGATCAAGACTAGGATCAATGAGAGATCGTAAGCCTTAGCAACAGCAGAATTATACTGTAACATCATCTACAACCTCAAAGCCCAGCATATCCCTAACTCTACCACTGTTGTCAAACTAGATGATCCAACCCAGCTTCAATAAAAAGTGCAGGAAGGCATGACCGGAGCAGCACCAAGCATACCTAAAAATGAAGTGTTAACCTGGTGAAACTGCAACACAGGACCACATGCATGCTGAAGCAGCACATTATAGAGTTAAACAATTCCGTGGGTCATTGGATCAGAATCCAAGACCTGCAGTCCTGCCACATTTCAGCCATGAATGGTGACTGACAACTCAATGGAGGAGCAAACTCCACAAATATCCCCATCCTCGATAATGGGCAGTGCAAAAACATTTTCCACAATCTTCAGCCAGAAATGCTGAGTGAATAATTCATCTTGGCTGCCTCTTGAGATTCCCAGCATCACAGATGCATAGGTACATTTAGGGGGAGGCTAGATAAGCATATGTGGGAGAAGGGAATAGAGGGATATGCTGATTGAGTTAGATAGCAAAGATGGACGGAGATTTGAGTGGGGCATAAATGCGGACATGAGCCGGTTGGTCTTGGTGACTTGTTTCTGTGGTGTACGTCCTATGTAAATGTTAATGAGAGTATGCATGAACACCACAGGCGGGTGCTTATTTGCACCAGCTATAACTAGGTGCCGCTCTCTCCCTGGATGGTATATGGCTGGCAGGTTGTTTACCTCCCTTCATGAGGAAAGAATTGGACTGCAGCACAAAGGGCAGTCTCAGTCTGGATGGGGCTGGCTCTAAACAAAGTTTAATCTAATTCTCCTGATTGGAGATGGTCTTCAAAGATTGGTATTGTCTAGATTGGGCCAGAATCACAAGTGATAACAATGTAGTCTTTGTGTTTTGGTTTAATATAGGGCATGGGTACCTTTCACATTGATGTAGAATAAATTAAGGTAATAAAGGTTAAAGGGATTGTTGACTCTTGATATTGGGCAACTTTTGACTAATACTTTGAAATTGCAGGGAAAACAAACCAAAGCGAGGAGGCATTTGTGTAGCAAACCACACGTCACCAATAGATGTCGTCATATTAGCCAATGATGGAGGCTACGCAATGGTGAGAGGAATGTCATGTTAAACTGTTTTACAATGTCTATTTCTATATACAAATAACAAGGAAATATGCATATTAGGAAGCCTTACACTGATGAACAAGTGTTTGAACTATTTTAGTTCCCTGCTATGGGCTACTAAGACAACTTACCTTTTAATGGTAATGGATTTGTCCCCATTTCTCTGTTGCAGGTTTTCTTGTTTACTCCTTTCTACTCTCTTTCTTATATCTATTTTTATCTTTTTCTCCTCTTTCCAACCCTCTTCTCTCCCTCTCCTCCCATGGCTATTATCTGGTCTTTTCTCTAGATAGCTTTGATCTTCTTCATTAACAACTATTATTCCTCATACAAAAGAAAGGGAGGTCCTGAAATCTTCTCCAGTTAATTAAGGGTTGATTTTCTCCCAAAATTAGATTTATGCAATAATTTGAGTGAAGCAATTTCAATAAAACATAGGAACAGGATTAGACTATTCAGCCCCTCAAGTCTGTTCTATCATTCAATGAAATCTTGGCTGATCTGTGGCTTAACTCCATATCCCTGCGTTTGGCCCATATCCCTTAATACCTTTTGCTGAACAAAAATTTATCTGTCTCAGATTTAAAATTAACGACTGATCCAGCATCCAATGCCGTTTGTGGAAGACAGTTCAAAACATCTACGACCCTTTGTGTGTAGAGGGGCTTTCTAATATCTCTGGCCCTAATTCTCAGGCTATGTTCCCTAGTTCTAGAATCTCCAATTAACATCTGCAATCACCATAATCTTATGGGACCATTGAGCTGCACTCTTGTTAGAAACAGACAACTGATGGTGGTTTAACCTGAGGGTTACCAGGCCTCAGGCGAAGCAAACATTTGCAAAGGAGAGTCCTTCATGGTAACCTCAGCTGGTGCAGGAATTGAACCCATGCTGTAGGCATCACTCTGCGTCACAAACCAGTTGTCTAGCCAACTGGCCCTGAAGCAGAAATGCTACATATTTCTAGCTCAAAAATGTGCAATAACAGATTTGAACAAAGTAAGTTTAAGTAAAGAGGAGCATACGGAGTTAATGATGGAGTCAACATATTGTCCTTGTCTTGGCAACAATCCAGAGCAAATAATACCCCTGCTTCAGGAACATGTCCTCGATTATATGCTCCGTTTAATGATTGCATGGAATAAAACAAAGTGCTGGAGAAACTCGGCAGCTATGCCAGCGTCTCTGGAGAGAGAAACAGTGTTAACATTTTGCTATGTATTCTAGTTGGTGTATTTTGTGTTTAAACAGCATCCCTTTTAAACAATGAGTCACAGGAACATTGGTGGGTCATCAGCCAAGTTTGTGGGTTTGTTTAAACTTGTATAGGGTTCTTAGAGTGCACAACCTCGGAATACAGCGTCTCTGTTGGGTTGCAGCAAGTATTGATTTCATATGTTCTTTAGTTCTGACTGGAGCCTAGTAACTACCCAGTACAAAATACATTTCAAGTCCAATGTGACTTCTTCAGAACTGGTTTTATTTACAGCAACTGCAGTATTTTTGGTTAGAACATAAGAACTAGGAGCAGGAGTAGGCCGTCCGGCCCTTCGAGCCTGCTCCGCCATTCAGTAAGATCATGGCTGATCTTTTTGTGGACTCAGATCCGCTTACCTGCATTCTCACTGTATCCCTTAATTCCTTTATTGTTCAAAAAATTATCTACCTTTTTTTAAAAACGTTTACTGAAGTAGCGTCAACTACTACACTGGGCAAGGAATTCCATAGATTAATAACCCTCTGGGTGAAGAAGTTCCTTCTCAATTCAGTCCTAAAGCTGCTCCCTCTAATCTTGAGGCTATGCCCTCTTGTCCTAGCTTCACCTGCCAGTGGAAACATCCTCTCTACTTCTATCTTATCTATTCCCTTCATAATTTTATATGTTTCTATAAGATCCCCCCTCAATCTTCTGAATTCCAATGAATATAATTCCAATCTACTCAGTCTCTCCTCATAAGCCAACCCCCTTGACTCTGGAATCAACCTAGTGAACCTCCTCTGCACCCCCTCCAGTGCCAGTACATCCTTTCTCAAGTAAGGAGACCAAAACTGCACACAGTACTCCAGGTGTGGCCTCACCAGCACCTTGTAGAGCTGCAACATAACCTCTCTGCTTTTAATCTCAATCCCTTTAGCAATGAAGGACAAAATTCCATTTACCTTCCTAATTACTTGTTGTACCTGCAGACCTACCTTCTGTGATTCATGCACAAGGACACCCAGGTCCCTCTGCATAGCAGCATGCTGCAACGTTTTACCATTCAAGTAATAATCCTTTTTACTATTAATCCTACCAAAATGTATGACTTCACATTTATTTACATTGTATTCCATCTGCCAGACCTTTGCCCACTCACTCAATGTATGTATGTTCCTCTGCAAAGTTTCACAGTCCTCTGCACACTTTGCTCTGCCACTCATCTTAGTGTCATCTGCAAACTTTGACACCCTACACATGGTCCCCAACTCCAAATCATCTATATAAATTGTAAATAATTGCGGTCCCAACACCGATCCCTGAGGCACACCACTAGTCACTGACTGCCAGCTAGAATAGCACTCATTTATCCCCACTCTTTGCTTCCTGTTAGTCAACCAATCCTCTGTCCATGCTAATACTTTACCCTTAACGCCATGCATCCTTATCTTATGCAGAAGCCTCTTGTGCGGCACCTTGTCGAAGGCCTTTTGGAAATCTAGGTACACCACATCCACTGGGTCCCCGTTGTCCACCTCGCTCGTAATGTCTTCATAGAATTCCAAAAGATTTGTCAAGCATGACCTGCCCTTCACGAACCCATGCTGCGTCTGCCCAACGGGACAATTTCTATCAAGATGCCTTGCTATTTCTTCCTTGATAATAGACTCGAGCATCTTCCCCATTACAGAGGTTAAGCTAACCGGTCTATAATTCCCCATCTTTTGTCTACTTCCCTTTTTAAACAGTGGCGTCACATTTGCTGTTTTCCAATCTGCTGGGACTGCCCCAGAGTCCAGCGAATTTTGGAAAATTACTGCCAGTGCACCTGCTATTTCTCCCGCCATCTCTTTTAGTACCCTGAGATGCATTCCATCAGGGCCAGGAGACTTATCAATCCTTAGTTCCATTAGCTTGCCCAACACTATCTCTTCCGTAATTATGATTGTTTCCAGGTCTTCACCTACCTTCATCTCTTTGTTAATTACTGGCATGTTATTAGTGTCCTCCACTGTGAAGACCGATACAAAATACCTGTTCAATGCCTCAGCCATTTCATCATACCCCATAACTAAATTCCCCTTCTCATGCTCTAAAGGGCCAACGTTTACTTGAGCCACTCTTTTTCGTTTATATATATTTATAGAAACTTTTGCTATCTGTCTTAATATTCTGTGCTAGTTTTTTCTCATGTTCTATCTTACTTTTCTTTATAGTTCTTTTTGTGGCTTTCTGTTGACCTTTAAAGTTTTCCCAATCTTCTAGTTTCATGCTGTTTTTGGCCACTTTGTATGCCTTCTCTTTCAATTTGATAGCCTCCCTTATTTCTTTAGACACCCATGGCAGATTACCCCTTTTCTTACAGTCCGTCCTTTTCACTGGAATATACTTTTGCTGAGCACTTTGAAAAATTGCTTTGAAAGTCTTCCACTGCTCGTCAACTGTCCCACCATAAAATCTTTGTTTCCAGCCAAGTCCTCCTTCATTCTATTGTAGTTCCCCTTGTTCAAGCACAGGACACTGGTATTGGATTTTATCTTCACACTCTCCATCTGTATTCTAAATTCAACCATACTGTGATCACTCCTTCCAAGAGGATCCCTAACTATGAGGTCATTAATTATTCCTGTCTCGTTACACAGGACCAGATCTCGGATAGCTTGCTCCCTCGTCGGTTCCATTACATACTGTTCAAGAAAACTATCACGGATACACTCAACGAACTCCTCCTCAAGGCTACCCTGACCGAGCTGGTTCGACCAATCTACATGTAGATTAAAATCCCCAATGATAATTGCCATACCATTTTTGCAGACATTAGTTATTTCTTTGTCTATTGCTCGCCCCAATGTGATGTTATTATTTGGTGACCTATAGACTACACTTATCAGTGACTTTTTCCTCTTAGAATTTCTAATTTCCATCCAAATGGATTCAACCTCATTCTCCATAGAACCTATATCATCTCTCAGCACCGCCCTGATGTCATCCTTGAATATCAGAGCTACACTACCTCCCTTACCTTCCTGTCTGTCCTTCCGAATAGTCTGGTACCCTTGGATATTTAACTCCCAGTCGTGACCATCCTGTAACCATGTCTCCGTAATGGCTACCAAATCATATTCGTTCGCGATGATTTGTGCCATTAACTCATCAACCTTGTTACGAATGCTACGAGCATTCAGGTAAAGTGCCTTTATGCTAGCTTTCTTACTCTCATGATTTCCAACATCTCTAATAATATCTCCTGAGTTATCCTTCCTTTTTGCTTCTTTCATAGTCTGCCTTGAACTTAAACCCTCCTGCACACATGCTAACCTGCTGCTTACCTTTTTATTTACCATCATACTCCCTGTCGTTTTCCCTTTCCCTTCCCCCCCCCCAACTCACTAGTTTAAAGTCCTAGTGACCACCCTATTTATCCTTTTCACTAGAACACTGGTTCCAGATCAGTTCAGGTGGAGACCGTCCCGTTTTATTATTAATAACTGTGTTTGTGTCAGAAGCCATGTGATCCTGATCATCTGTGATTGTTCAGTACAGTGGAAGGGGCTGTATGATACTCTGAGTTCCAGTTAGTAGAGTGGATTGATGATTATTTGTTTTCAACCAGTTGGATAGACTGTGCTGGCCAACTAATTTAAACTTCTACACCCTTCCACCACTATCCATACTGATGTATATCCTGCAAATTTATTTGAGAAAATATGGGCATGCTAGTCAATGAGTCATCTGCTTCTAGATTTTTTTGTTTAGTTTGAACCTTTCAATCTGAGAATGCCACATACACTGAGAAACATTGAAAACAAATGTTTTGCAGCTCACATAATAACCACAGTTACCTGTTGCTGTTTCCTCCTTGCAGACATGGCTTGGCCATTCAATCCAACCCTGTCAAAATATTATGCCAAGAAAAAGCTTGGCATAATACTTCTTCAATATTTGTATTCTTGCTTTAGAATTGCTATGAGTTTTGTTAATTAGTGAGCACTAGTCTGATGACGTGTTGGCAATTTTAATGAAATGTCCAAGAGTTTGAAAGCGTAGGCAAAACCTGTGGTAGGTATTGATTTAAAACAAAAATGTGCTTCATTAATACATTGAAAGAAAATAATTAATGTGGTGATGTGGGGGAGGGGAAAGAAATCAGCTGCAATAAAATTAATTGGTCCATTTCTGAACAGATTGGACAGGTCCAAGGTGGGCTGATGGGAATCATTCAGAGGTCAATGGTGAAGGCTTGTCCACATGTCTGGTTTGAACGATCTGAAATGAAAGATCGCCACCTCGTTATAAAAAGGTTAGACACAGTGACTGTTACATGCGGCAATCGTGAACTTGCATTCGTTCAGATTTTCCTGTCCCTGATTGCAGGAGTTAAAGTGGAGGAAGATTGGGCTACCAATGGTTATCAGTCTGGTAATTGTCAACTTATCATTGTGCTTACTTTTTCATTGTCCCAACAAAGTTTTGAATGCACTGCTCAAAAATAGAGGCTGCAACCACAATGTTGTTTCTTCTCCACTACTTTAGTAAGTTTGTCATTTGGATTGACAGCTGCAGTTCAGTGGGAGCACTCTCACCTCTGAGGTGAAAGATTGTGCTTCACTGCCCAATCCAGGGCTGGGATCATTGAGGCCGATAATCCTACTGTAATACTGAGAGAGAGAGAGTCATAGAATTGTGCAGCATGGAAAAAGACCTTTTTGGTCCAACTCTTCCGTGCCGACCAGATCTCCTAAATGAATCTAGTACCATTTGGCCCATATCCCTCAAAACCCTTCCTATTCATGTACTCATCCAGATTCCTTTTAAATGTTGTAATGGTTCCTACCTCCACCACTTCCTCTGCAGCTCATTCCGTACTTGCATCACTTTGTATGAAAATGTTGCCCCTTGGATCCCTTTTAAATCATTCGTCTTTCACCTTAAACCTATGCCCTCTAGTTTTGAACTCCCCTATCCTGGGAAAAAGACTTTGGCAATTCACCGTATCCATTCCCCTCATGATTTTATAAACGTCTATAAGGTCACCCCTCAGCCTCCGATGCTGCAGGGAAAATAGCCCCATCCTATTCAGCCTCTCCCTATAGCTCAATCCCTCCAACCCTGGTAACGTCCTTGTAAATATTTTCTGCTGAGCCATTCCAATGCTAGCCAAAGAGTCCCTCAAACAACATCACTTAAACAGTCATTCTCACCTTGTTATTTACTGGACTGTGGCATTTGTAGGAGCTTGCTGAGTAATAATATGATGCACTTCAGAAATATTACCCAGGCTGCAAACTGCTTTGGCCTCCTGGGCGATGCTATCTATAAAAGACAGAAAATGCAGGAGATGCTCAGTATGTCAGCAGCATCTCTGAAGAGAAAATCTGAGTTAAGTTTTCAGGTTGATGACCTTTTTATCAGAACTGAAATGTTAACTCTATCTGCAAACAGATGCTGACTGACCTGCTGAGTATTTCCAGTATTTTTGGCTTTAATTTCGGTTTGCCAATGTCCACAGTACCTTAGATTTGTCCGATACAGGAAAAACATCTTTCTTTGATGTGTGCTCCAAGATAGTAATGTGGGTGTTGTTGCCCCTTTCTCAGAGACTCAATGAGTGGGAAGTTGCATGATGACCTTTCGATCGGATAGGACGATGGGAGTGGTTGCTGTGAAGTTGGAAAGTGCATGGCTGGCAACGTGTATAATGTGAACAAACATTGTTTCTGTGCTGTCTGATGGAAAGGCAAACTGTCGATGAGACATTTTAAAATGTCTGCTTTTCTTTCTGTCGGAAGCAAATAGTCAACTTCTGATCAAAACTGTTTTGCTAATCCTCATTTAGCCACATTGATGCTTGTTGGAGATAAAACTGAATGTTTGTTTTCCAGACATGGTAATTAACACAGATTCAGAACCTAACTGTCTTGCATAACAGACATTCACTTGGAAGAGTGGAACATCGCTGCACGAGTATGCGATTCAGCTCTTCGAATCTGTTCTGCCATTCCTTACGTTATTGTGGAACCTCCAATTTAACTCCCATCTACTTGCCTTGGTTATGTGTTCTCCAATACCCTTGCATGTCAAAAATCAATGAATCACAATTTGATGTTACCACCCTCAAAAAAATCTTTGGGGGGAGAGCCTTCATGGTGAGGATAGTGGATGAGCATGGTGAGTTGGAGTAGCCTACGGTTTGAGGTTTCAGGTTTTTAACATGTATAAATAACTGGCCAGTTGTTTAATGAATAGAACAAAGATTACAGAACCATTATAGCTGTCAAAGGAAAAGGAATATTGTGCCTTCTCCCCTGTGATTAGTCTCCTCTTCTGTTCACAGACTAAGTGATCATATTGCAGACAAGACAAAATTACCAATTTTAATATTTCCTGAAGGTAAGAACAATGTAAGGAGCAGTAAATTTCATTCTTGTGTTACTTGAAAGCCTATAAGAGGGCAAAAGAAATCACTTTGAATGAACTGTCATATTAAAACTGCCCCATAATTTAGCCCAAGCTCTAAGTGTAATCTTTTCTCCCTCCCCTGTATATCGTTATTGAAATTCTGGGGCACTCTGTGTACTATTTGGTCTCCTTATTTTAGAAATGATGTAAATGCATTAGAAGCAGTTTGGAGAAAATTTGTGTGACTGATACCTGATATGGAATGGTTGGGCAATCTGAGTCTATATCCATTGAAGCTTAGAAGAGTGAAAGCTGATTTTATTGAAACACATAAGATCCTGAGGGAACCTGACAGGGTGTCAAGGATGTCTCCCCTTGTGTGACTAGGGGACAGAGTATTAAAGTAAAGAGCCTCCTACTTAAAGGTGAAAATCGGGGGAATATTTTTCCACAAGTTGAGAGTCCTTGGAACTATCTTCCTGAGAGTGGGGAAGCAGGGATTTTGAATATTTTTGAGGAGAGGTAGATAGATACTTGACTGACAAGGGTCAAAGGTTGTTGGAGGAGGCGAGAATCCACAGTTATATCAACCGAGGTCTTAGTGAATAGCAGAGCAGTCTCGTGAGGCTGAATGGCCTATTCTTGCTCTCAATTCATATGTCTGTACGCATATTTTGGTACTGTATTTTCCAGAGTAAAGGTGCGTGTACATTTTAGAAATTAAAATGCTCTCCAGGATTCAATGATTTTCTTCTGAGACTTGATTGACATCTGGCCTCTAGAAATGTTCCTGGTCATTTGGTCTTTACATAGCCAACAGTTCATGTCAGTTGATTTACACTTTTGCCTAAGGTCGTGTGACACTAATTTTACAAATAAAGATTCTTAAGTAATAGAGGTGTTTTACATTCAAATATTACCTTTCGTTCCTTTTCATGGGTAATGTTCATACTGTAGCAAATGGAGTAAAACCTAAAATAATAACACTGGATGTTGACCTGAGCTTCATGTTACTATAGATGTTATCTTGGTTGATTTGGCAGTGGAATCTCTTACAAACTAGATTTCCCTTTGGGTATACATTTGCAAACTGACTCTTGACTATGAAACTTGCTTTCCAGGTACCTGCATAAATAATACCTCTGTTATGATGTTTAAGAAGGGAAGTTTTGAAATAGGAGGAACAATATATCCTGTTGCAATCAAGGTAAATGATTGAAGATCATCTTGAGTTTGACTGTTATCATGTTTCCAATTTTTAAGAAAATAGCTTTTTCTTCTCGATGTTCAGCTGTCTAATTATGTCACAGGTTCAAATTGATCAAAGAGTACCTGTAGAAAGTCTCAGCCCTGCAATTCCTTCGGGCACAAGAATCAGTTGCAGGAAACTGCTTTGGCTCCCTTCAAGTCCTATTCCTTTTTAGAAGTTCTGTTTTCAGATGATAATAACTCTTTGCATTTAAGAAAAATAATTCTCCTCATCTCATCTCAGCTCTTTTTGTACTACCTTTAGTCTGTGTCTTCTAATTATAGAGTCATAGACTCATGCAGCACGGAAACTCCCCCTTCGGTCTAACCAGTTCACGCTGACCATAATCCCAAACTAAACTAGTCCCACCTGCCTGCACGTGACCCATATCCGTCCATACATTTCTTATTCATGTACTTATTCAAATATCTTTTAAATATTGTAATTGTACCCTCATCCACTACTTCCTCTGGAAGTTCATTCCACACACCAACCACACTCTGTGTAAAGAAAAAAGTTACAGACACCTCTCCCAGTGGAAGCAGTTTCTCCTCTTTTACCATGTGAAGATCCTTCATGAGGGAATGTTGCTTTCTCAAAGTTGCAGTTATTGATATTGACAGAATTGTGTGTTCTGTTTCCAAGGCATTTGGATACAGTTAATTTTGCTTCCTCTTGGGTTTCAGTGTAAGAATTCAGTACCTTTTTGCCTGAAGAAAAAATAAGGCTGCTTTTGTGAAAACAGGCTAGTTGTAAGATTTTGGTTTCTTAAAAAAGCTAATATTTTTACTTGCAGCAGTTGCTCCCTTAGCGTGGTGACTAGAGTAACAGACATTTAGTGAGCTTACATTATTGTTTTTGTTGCAGTATGATCCTCAGTTTGGTGATGCATTTTGGAACAGCAGTAAATATGGAATGGTGTCCTACCTGCTTCAGATGATGACCAGCTGGGCCATAGTCTGCAACGTTTGGTACTTGCCCCCAATGACCAGACAGGTAACTGATTTATTTGTTGTGAACTGAATTCATGTGACTTTATCGTTGGGCAGTTGAGGCTAAGTGGACCTTCGAGTTCTACAAGGCTAGAGGGCAGGAAGTAATTGATTCAGGGGTAATTCACTTTCTATTAGGTATTCACATCCTGGGCTCGTTTATGGAAGACTATTGTTTTCAGTTCGGTAGGAAAACTCGTAACTTGGGAAGTTGTGAAATAGAGCAGGCTGTGATGTAGAGGGTAAAAGTTTCTGTGCAGTACCAGCTGAGAAAATCAACCTGCGGAGCAACAATGCCACTCTTGGTCGGAGGATCAACTTGCAGTGTGGCATATTTATACAGGCCAGTTCCTTTGTGCTTGTGGATTTAGGAATATTTGATAGAAGCATGAAAGTAAAGGGAATGCATGACTTGCAAATATATTGTAGATGTTTATGTATTAAGAACGTAACCTTGAAATGGTGTTCCATCAGCAGCAGACCATGTTTACAGCAAAAACAGTATGGACCTACTTTTGCTTGTGTGGGATGGATGTAACAATGTAGTAATCTCTACCATTACCCTGAATGCTCAGTATGTCAAACACTGTTCACGCTTGTTCCAATATAATTTTAGAGGAGCCCAAACATGAGCTGCTGTATGAAAATCACAAATGGTGTTTGCAATGTTCTTGTAACGTTTAGGCTCCCAGTGCTGCAGCCCCCTCATAAGCCAATTGCAGTGATACTGATTAACAGCCTGAGGCAAAGAGGTCAAATTTCCTCAGGACAAATGGTCAAAGTGAACTGAAAAATTCTAGTAATTTGTGGCTTGATGAAATCTGACCTCAACAGCTGCTGGATCATCATAAAAACTCAAATTGTTCTATTATGCCCTTTTTGGGGAGGAAAGCAGCTTGTTTGATTTTGTTGACTCCCATGTGACTCCAGTGCCAAGTAATATGGAGTATTCCTAATGCAGCCCTCATTCTTTATGGCACAGCAAGGGTCCATATTGTAAGGAATTGAGTTTTCCTTTGCACATTCGTGAAAGTTTTTTGACAAGATAGTCCAACAAACCATCCTTAGGATGGGCATGGGCTATATATAGAATGAAGTTCCCTTTTACAGAAGGAACACTCCAAGACAAATACAGGATGGGATAGATTCTCAATAAAGTTCCCTTTACATTATCCCTAATGAAGAATCCCAAAGCAAGTGCAGCAGAACAAATTTCTCAATAATGAACCCCTAATCATGTCTCTATTCTCAACATTCGAACAAGCCCATCTGCCCACCGCATGTGTGATTTCTCAGAATCTCAAAATTACCAACTCATTTTAAATTGCAGTAACTGGATAATTGATGAACAGGTCATTGATTTCTCTTTTTAAGTCTGATTTCATCACAGTAGTGATTTCAGTCCACTGAAACGGCAGTATTGTAGTTTTGTGGGATTCATTTCCCTTTATCCCTGTCCCTGGAGCAACTTGCACTCTGAAGGCATTCACTCCAGTGCCAGCTGCTGAAGCACTCACTTCAGTTTGAACGGAGTTACTTTTGACTTCAGTTTTGCCAAATTTTGCACCAAATTTAATTGGAAAATTAAGATTATGAATTAAATAATCTGGGTTTGGACTGCAGATGACACCAAAATAGAGAGACTAAAAGAAAAGAAGCCATGGAAGGAAAAAGTAGTTGATGACACCAAATTTAGGTTTTAAAAGATTGAAAATGACCAAAGGTATTGAAGAATTCCACAGAGAGCTGTATAAGAATAAGTTGGAGACAGGTAAGTTTTATAAATGTAGTCAGGAAGCGTTTGTGCAGCACCTCCCCAGATCTGGGAAATATGGACTGTTCTGAGAGGGCATTAAGAATTGTTCATTGCTGGGAAATTAAACTTACAAAAGAGGAAACAGCTGTATGGAGGAAGTTTCAACAAACAGGAAGGGCATAAATTCAACAGAGATCATTGCCAATGTCAAAACCAAAAATACTGAAATATAAAGGATAGTCATGGTTGAGCATTTTGTGGTTTTTCAAGAAGGCGCAGAGGTATTAGTGGGTTTAATGTGAACTTTAGGCAGAAGTTGTGCTTGTCAAATGGAGCCGCCTCTCAATCTCCCATGCTCCAGAGAAAGAAATCCCAGCCTATCCAACCTTTATACATCAAACCTTTCATACCTGGCAACATCCTGGTAAATTGCTTCTGAACCCTCACCAGCTTAATAATATCTTTCCTACAACTGGGTGACCAGAACTGGATACAGTATTCCAGAAGAGGCCTCACCTAAAAGACATTTGGATAAGTACATTGAATAGGAAAGGTTTGACGGATTGTGGGCCAGGAGCAGGCAGTGGGACTAGTTTGGTTTGGGATTATGTTTGGCATGAACTGGTTGTACCGAAGGGTCTGTTTCCGTGCTGTATGACTCTATGACGCCATGTCTCTTAAGTCCACGCTGGATTGACCATCCATAAACAACCAAGAGGCAATGTAAGAAGAAAGAAAGAAAGACTTGTATTTGCATAGAATCTTTTCCCACCTCGGGATATCCCAAAGCCCCTCAGCTAATGATGTTCCTCCTGCAGTGTAGCCGTTGCTGAAATCTGAGATAAACAGTAGCCAATGTATTCCCAGCAAAGTTTCAGAACAGCAAGATGATCATGATCAGACGATAACTTGTTTGTTGAGGAATAAAGATTGGCAAGGGGTGAAGAATTATGGAGAAATAACACATTCTAGCATATAGTAATGGATTGTTGCCTTTTTAAGATCACTGACAAAGACAGAGAAGTCTTTGATCTCCTCTGACAGATTAGCCCCTTTACCAGTGCAGCATTGCAGTGTCAGTATGTCAGTTCTGCACAGATCCTGAACATCCCTTGGTGATGTCTGGACATTCACGAGGAGATTCAGCAACTTGGTGTCAAACTGGTCTTTTGATTCCTGTGGGTCAGGGACAAGGCTTATGAAGAACTGTTGCTGCAATTGTTATTGCGTGAGCGATGCCAAAGGAGGTCTGTGTGTGCTATAGTGAACTTGAGATTCTGAAAATGAATGCTTTAAAAATCCTTTTGTAGAATTGTGTTGGTTGAGACAATGTATTTTTTCATGAAGGGCTGACTCTTGCACAATCTGCCCTTCAGGGACTGAGTGATGACTGAGTGACCATTTGCCTCTCCCTTTACTCTACAGGAAGGTGAAGATGCTGTGCAGTTTGCCAATCGAGTCAAAGCTGCTATAGCTCAGCAGGGAGGCTTGATGGATCTTGCCTGGTAACTAATCTGTGTCATCATTTTAAATGGATAATGCAATGGAGTGATTGTTTGGAGACTTCTCTTTTAAGAATTGGGGGCTGATTGATTTTAAGACAATCAAGTCACTGGAAAGGGAGATATAACAACTTAGAGTTTCCGTGCCCCATGATAATTCTGAGGCAGCTCATTTCATGTATTCCATTTAGGTTGTCTGAGCTTGTCAGGTGATCAGAGCAGCCATTTTAGGTGAGCAGTGTCCTTTTTAAAAGTGTTTTTAGTCTATGAAAACCTTGAGTATTTCCTCCACAATCATCATAACAACAGCATTTTTCATCTCTTTACTTTCCCATTACCTTTGCAGTCTAATGTTATCATAGATCTTTCCTTTTTCATCTTTCACTGCCAACTCTCTTTCTCCACCCCCGTCCCTCCCCCCCCCCCCCCAAAAAAAAATAATTCTTCCATTTGCTCAAAACCTCTTACATTTCTAATGTTTCACTTCTTCAATGCCAGGCCATTCACCTGAAATGGTCAGATGTCACACGACACCAGGTTATAATCCAACAGGTTTATGCTGCTCCAAACGCTTGTGATTTCAAATAAACCTGTTGGACTGTAACCTGGTGTCGTGTGATTTCTGACCTTGTCCACCCCAGTCCAACATTGGCACCTCCACATTATTGACCTGAAATATTGACCTTTTTTTCCCCTCCAGAGGTGCAACTTGGTCTGCTGAGTGTTACTTTATTTTATTTGTTTTTAAAAGTTTTTTATTTATATTTTTATTTCCAGTATCAGAGTGTATTACTTTTGCACAATAATGAGCTTCCGCCACTCTCTGGGATGGAGAGATTGAGAGGATGGGAATGCAGGGTTGAGAGGTTGAGGAAGATGAAGAGAATTACAGTGGAAGCAAGGGACGTTAAAAAAAATACACAGATGAATGTACTACACTAAATAACCTACTGATCACTCTGACACAATTAATAGTTCCCTAACAATTCTGCCAAACATGGGAAACGCAATCCTGTAATCTTAAAGCTAACAAAAGATTACTGTTTTGAATGTGTTTGGATATTATCAAAATTCATCCAAGGGTGAATATCTGGCACCAGTGTTACTGTTGATTTTGTGTATTCTCTAGAGGTTTCCAGTAAATCCAAGCCCTGTCTTTATAAATTGATAAATCTCAGAAAATGAGATTAATTTTTATTTCTGCTCCAGGGACGGGGCTCTGAAAAGAGCCAAAGTCAAAACCAGTATGAAAGAACAGCAGCAGAAATACTACAGCAAGATGATCTTTGGGAATGAAAGCAGCTGAAGAGAAATGAGATGTCGGTCCCTCAGTCCTTATTTACGTCATTGTTTACGTCTTTATGCCACTTGAGTTTTCAATGAATGTCTTCTTTTATTTTTGTAAACTGAGCACATTTATGCATTGAGTTCCATAAAAGAACAATATCCATAAATGATAAAGATTAAAATGTGTTCGTTTTGTTTGGCTTAGTGACAAAACTTTGCTTCGTTGGTAGGTGATTAGTGGATTTGTCTTAGTTGGTCTGTGTCCTTTCGAGCAATGTTCCTGTTTAATAAATGGATGGGATGACAGGCCTAAGACAAAATCTTCATCTTTAATGGATTTCTGAAACTGTGAGGTACTAACCTGCTTTGTCTCAGCTTCCAGTTCTTTTCTGTGCAGCTCAGAAAACAATGAGAAGTCTTGTGGATGCTCTGATCCCAGAGAGTAATTTGATGTGTTTTGTTGCATGTGTTGGAAATGCTGCAAAACCTGCGCTCTTGGTCAGTAGACTGACCATTAATACTATTAGAGAAGGGAAGTGTGACAGAAAAAGCATGCGGTTTTTGAATTTTGCTTCCAGGGCTTTTCTTTCTGTAGCTGAGCTCTTGACTTTTGAAATCCGCTAAATGATCTAAAATTGACCCACCTAGTTTCTCCTGCATGCTGCTCCCAAATGATATCGTCTGAAGAAATGTCAGTTTCCATATATACGCAACTGACATCTAGCTTCTACCTCACCAGCTACTCTCTCAAAACACTCTTCACACACTCTGATTTCTCACTGCTTGTATGACATCCAGTGCTGAATGAGCAGAACTTCACTGAAACTAAGTATTCATCACCAACTCTGTTTCTTTCCCTAACTACTGCCTGAGGTTGGCGATTCACAACTCTGTTGCCACATGGATTAGTGACATGAATTAGGAGTGGGAGCAGGCCCGAATACGTAGCTACATCATCACCAAGGCAACCAACTTCCACCTCAGTGACTCTGCCCAGGGATCAGCTTTGCTGCTGTTGAAACTTTTAAGCTGTGCCTTTCCTACCTCCTTGACATTTTTAAAACTTATTTATGGGAAGTGGGTGTTGTTGCTGAGCTAGCATTATTCCAGTGCTCTTATGACTGACATCTCACTGTTCACCTTGCATGAGCCTGAACTAATTCAACAGTGCTACTTAAGTCATCAAATCCTGTTTGTTAATCACCCACCCTAATATTTCCCTATGTAGGTTGTGTTAAATATTGCTAATGCTTCTGTGAAGCATTTTGAGACATTTAAAGCCACAATATCAATGCAGGATGTTAGCTGTCGAATGTTTTCTGTTCATTCCAGGCCTCTGAAGAGAGAGTTTAATTTTGATTTTTGGAGGGGTTTGGTCCTGGAAAGCTTAAAAGATTCTGAAATCTGTCGATCTTCTAATAAGTCATTTGGTGCCTGATTCTGCTGCCAGGATGGTGTACAGAACCACAACAATGGACTGGGATTTGGTTACTTCTGAAATAAATATTTCTGTAACTATAATAGCTGCAAGTCATTCTTCATCTTTGCGATAAGTGGGGATGGAGTTTGTTCCCTGTTATGTGCATGGCCATTGTGGCTATCATACATAACTGCAGCTCCTTTGTACAAAAGAAACTAATCCTGCAACGATTTTCCCAGTCCAAAAACAGTTTCCACAATACGAAGAGAACAATAGATTCTCCTCGTTTAGAACAAGTTCTAATGTTAAATATATATAAAATGCTAAGGATAATTTTAAAACATAAATGTTCCATGATGAATGTTCAATTGATATAATAAAATCATAAATATCTGTTTCTCTCTCATTCTTGTCAGACTAAGCTAATAATTCATTTTTTACAAATTAAATACTTTCAATAGCACCATTGTAGTACATTATTTTGCATGTTCAATACAAAATAGGTTTTAAAGTAATATAAAAGCCTTGGATATTCAGTGATTATTTGAGCCAGCTCTCTGAACTTTTACATAGCAGACTCCTCAGTGCCCAGTTGCTGTGTGTACTGTGCCTTGGAGGTGTTGCTGTTGGACTGGAGTGGACAAGGTCAGAAATCACACGACACCAGGTTATAGTCCAACAGGTTTATTTGAAAACACAAGCTTTCGGAGTGTAGTCCCTTTGTTAGGTGAAGTGAGAAAGAAGCACACAACACAGAATTTGTATGTAAAAGATCAAAGGGTCACACAACTGATGAGGATGTATTAAACAAACCTAAGATGCTGTTAAATCTTTAATCATTTAGAAGGTTTTAATTGATTAATATGTATCTCTAAATCACCGAATTTCTTTCAAGTCACTGTCCTGAGAGAACTCAGCGTTTTATCAGTGTAAAGAAGCGGTGACATATTAGGTCAGACAATGCTTCGTGACCCCACCACACTACACACCATCTCTCTCACACACTCTCACAAGCGCACACACTCTCACAAGCGCACACATTCACACAAGCACACACTCTGACACATCCTCCCTCATACAAACACAGTCTCTTAAGCACACACATATAATCTCCCCCCCCCTCCCTCCACCCAACCCCCCCCCCCCCCCCCCGACACACCCACTCAAACAAAAATCAAAGGGGTGTATTTGTATTTGCAGGTACGTTCTATTTTGTTCAAAAAGCACACAATTTATAGTCAGTCAGTCAATGTGGCATTTTATAAATTCCTACTTTAGAAATAAAACCAGTTTGATTCCAAGCCAAAACACAAACAGATTCTAAACAAGGCCTCACACCTAACATGCATTGTCTGACCTAAAATGTCACTTCGTGACACTGATAAAACCTTTAATTCTCTCAGGGCCGTGACTTGAAAGAAATCCAGGGATTTACATAGAAAATTTTATATGATTAATATGGATTGATTAATATGATCAAAGATTTAACAGCATTTTAGGTTTGTTTAATACATCCTTATCAGTTGTGTGACTTTTTGATCTTTTACCTATAAATCTGTGTTCTGTATGCTTTTTCCTCCCCACCTGATGAAGGGGCTATGCTCTGAAAGCTTGTGTTTTCAAATAAACCTGTTGGGCTATAACCTGGTGTTGTGTGATTTCTGACCGGTGTATCTGTGTGGAGTGAGTCAGGAGAAGTACTTTCAGATATTCTTGTATGATGTTCTGGGATATCCAAACAAAAAAAAACAAAATGTAAGAATGCTTTCTCAGCAGTTAGTACATTTAAATGCTTTTCTTAAATATCCCACTACCGAACCACCCATTTCACTTATTAAAATTACAAGTTACAAGCATTGCCCACTAAGGGCACTGCAACTATAACAGAAGGGTAGGGAAAGATAGCTGGGCTAATTCCAATTTGGAAGGGGAAATAATGCTTCCCCTCTCTAAATGCCTCAAGGATGTTGCAAATAATGTTTTCGGATCAACCTGTTCAGTGATTTTATTACATACCTCAGAGCAGATGAGACTTGAACCCAGGCTTCCTGCCTTGAAGGTAGGGACACCACTGTGGCACTGCAAGAGTCCTTGCAAATAACCTTTTCTTTTCCCCAATATTTTCATATCCAGAAGTGCTTTTGTATACGACTAAATAGTTTTCTCCCCAACTACCAGATCACCTACGATTTTCTTTTCTCATCTATTAACCATCACCAGTAGTACAACATGATTTCTAATTGATTAACTTGCATGCAAAATCCATTAAAGCTTTTCTAAACAGCAAGCTAATATTTGTCATTGGATCATATCTAACACTATTCCCAACAACTGTTATGAATTCAGCATTTTGTGTGTATAAAACTTTCAAAAATGCAAGAAGTTAATGAGACAAACTTGATTGTCTTTGGATCAGAGCTTAGTTTTAGTTGCAAACACTAAGTCTCCTGCCTCCTGTGAACAATTGGCCTTTTCTCCTATAATATCAAGACGAAAATCATCTGTCCCTGCCAAGAGTTATGACAACTATTTTATTTTCTCGTTTCTCTACCTAATCCATGTTGAAATAGATGCAACTTTTCTTGATCAGAGGATGATGGCCTCTGCTTCCATCCCAAGTGCGTACTAAAGAGAAAGTAACTAGAAAGCCTATACTATTATTTAAGTTTGGATGCAGTTTCTGAATAAAGGCTGTGGGTGGGAAGTATTAAGAACTGTCAACTTAAAATGCAGTCAGATGAAATCCTACAAAAGGAATTGGTTTCTGCTGATTAAGCCATTAGGATTCTCAGCAGAAATATCAGGCACTTGTGGTGTGATGGTTGTGTCCTTACCTCTGAGCTAGGAGGCCTGTGTTCAAGTCTCGGAGCTTTGTAACAACATCTCTGAACAGGTTGATTGGAAAATATCTGGAAAAGAACAAATCGAGATCATAGGCTCGTGTGCAGTTAGATTTAAAAAACAATGCCCTTTTTTAACCTGGATCGTTTTCTGTATAAATGACCACCTTGCCATATGTAAGTAGCACAGTGAAAGGTTGCAGAAGACTGTGTGGCTATACTAGTCAGATATAACCCTATCATCTAACTGTTTACACTATGTTTAAGTGTTGGCAACTGATATCTAAGGTTAACAAATGATTGTTAGTTCATTGACTTTTTAAATAGTTGGCAAGAGCGCTTATTCATTGACTCAGTAGCTTGTGTCAATCTGGAGGCAATGGCCTCGTAGTATTATCGCTAGGCTGTTAATTCAGAGATACAGATAATGTCCTGGGGACCCAGTTCGAATCCTGCCAAGGTAGATGGTGGAATTTGAACTTAATTAAAATCCAAAATTAAGAGTCTGATGAAGACCATAAATTGATTGTCAGGAAAACCTATCTAGTTCACTAATGCCATGCCATCATTATCTGGCCTGGCTTCCATGTGACTCCATGTTGACAGCAATGTGTTTGACTCTTAACTGCCCTCTAGGTAATTAGGGGTGGGCAATAAATGCTGGCCTAGTCAGTAACACCCTCATTCTGTGAATGGGGAAAAAGGCAGATGGTGAAATTCTTAATATAATCTGAACTGGTTGACATAAAGCTGTTTGACAAGCCAGTATTTAGACGTTATAAACTCCTAGGGCATAGACTGTGTGGTTGACCTCAGCTGTTTTTCAAACAACTAAAGATTCTGGTGCTGTTGATAAATGTTCCTGTCAGGATATTGATCTGGATGATCTTGCAGCATCTCGAATTTAGAGGAAACTGCAAATACAGGAAATATTGAAACAGGCCATTGCTGTATGGAAATCAGAACTATCAGATTAGGCGGGAGTATCGGTAACAAACTTGTTTTCTCTACAAAAATAACGTGTTAATGAAAACATAAATGTTGTAAAAAACTCAGCAGTGTAGTATAATGAGAATGGATATGATAATGCGATGATGTAACATTGATATATCGCTAGAGATGATGAAAGATTGGAACAACTTGTACCTGAAAGGTGCGCTAGAGAGTCTATATTTTTGTATAGCAGATCAAATAAGAGTTTGCAACACTTACTAGAAACAGATAACAGTCACTCATAGTTAAGAGAGAAACCATTGGGGTCACATACAACAAAAGAGACAGTATGAGCCATAGATAGCAAATATACAGGGCAGAACTGCCGAGTCTGAAACAGCCTGGCATCTCAAATCAGGAGGACAGAGCTATCAGGGTCTGTGGAGTGAACAGGCCAGATGACATTTGTGTTGTGAATCATAGAACATTACTGCTCCTACCTTCTCAGACACAAGGAGATGATAATGGTTTCTCGCTTATCATTTAATGATTGTTTGGACCCATCTTTTGCTCATTCATTTTTCCATTTTTATCATCTGTTTTTGTCTTTTAATCTCTTCTTTTTCTCTCCCCCTCTCAACCCTTCCTCTTGTTCTTTCCTCTGTTCTGTTCTATCCCAGCCTCTCTCTTTGCTGTGAAACTTTCACATCACTATCTCCTGTCAGTTCTGATGAAACGTCGACCGTCTTAAACACTAACCGAATAAAAACCGAAAGAACTGCGGATGCTGTAAATCAGGAATAAAAACAGAGGTTGCTGGAAAAGCTCAGCAGGTCTGGCAGCATCTGTGAAGAAAAAAATCAGAGTTAACCTTTCGGGTCCGGTGACCCTTCCTCAGAACAGAAACATTACACCACTTGTTTTTCTCTTTGCACAGGTCCTGGCCAAGCATTCCCAGCACTTCTGTTTTTAGTTTTCACATTTCAAAACATCCACAATGTTTTGCTATGGAGATGGGGTGTGACGCTGGATGGAACACTTAAGTGGATGAATTTGGTACCTGGTGGGTGGCTGCAATGCCAAGTTTTTCAATGCCACCCATATGCCATACTGGCAGGAAGATGTCAGGCTCCTGTCTCCATGCCTCCCTTGCAATCTTTCCAGCCCTCTCTCCTCTTAAGCCATCACTAAACAACCAAGAAAATTCACCCCATGTTTCTTTTACAATAGTTAATTTGGTTTTGAACAGAGATGAAAGGTTAAATATTGTTAAAGATTGGAAAAAGGACATAAATATACTTGTAAAAACTTCATGGTTTCATAATTTCTGCCATAAAAGCTCAGAACCTTATGCTTATAGAACATTCCACTAAAGTGCTGCTGAGTTTAGCTTCCACTGAAGGCAGTCATAAGGAAATATGCATGGTAGCTTTTCTCAGATTGGTAACTAGAATAAACTGAAAGGCTTACAATGAATGTTTAAAGCTATGCTTGACATTGAATAGAAAACTTAGTTAAAACGTGGGTCTGTAAAGTAAATTATATGCTATGGCTTTATTGCAATGTTGGTCAGCTAAGTGTATGGTTTATCATAGTATGGATTTCCTGCCAGTTCAACTGATGTTCTGTCTTG